AGATCCAGGTATCATGAGGAAAATGGAGGTTGCAGGCTGCTGAGGCTCTAAAAGCGATGAGTATTTGATTGAATTTTGTTGCTATTATTGTTTGTAAACAGGGTGATTATGAAGCTGCCATGGAAAAATTCGACTCGGCTGTCACCATTCAAGAAGCGTTGTTTGATGTTCCACACGAGAAACTCAAGTCCCTCAAGGAGAAACAGGAAATTTCTTCTCTACTAAACTCGCCTGAAACAATCACTCAGGAGCTGCAGATGAAAATTGAGGTGTGTAAGAATGAAATAACGCAAGCGAAACAATCCACAAACCTAAGACTACAACACATTATGGAAATCATTAACAGTAGCGCATCTTAGAAAGAATTGTAATGATTTCTCCGAAGAGGCAAACCCAGCTGTGACTGACTGTGATGTCACCCACAGACTTCTTGTAACACCCTGATCTCGTTCGGCTCGCTCAGGCTGGTCTGGTTGAAAGGCAGCGGCGGAGTTAATATGCAGAGATGGACGTAAAATAGCCTACCTCATGAAGGAAGCTGGAGTTTGTGGAGTCGCCTTTGAGGAGCGATCAGTGTTTTGGATTACAGACCCCTGAGGGCCTAGATTCCAGTCTTTGCTATGCCGCCATAAAAGAAGTCTTGTTGGTTCCTTAAACAAGGAACTTGCCTGCATACTTCCTCTCTCCAGTCAGGGGTATAAATGCACCAGTGAAACAATGTTAGGGATGACTCTGGGAAGAACCTTACGTCATAGCCAGAGGAGGGGCACGTTATCCTTGCTTTGTGCTGACAGAAACCAGGTCGAGTTGTTATTGACTGGGTACCCTGTGGCCTACTTCGTCAGTTATGTTAAGTTATAAAACGTAACGTGCTTTCGAACAACCCAGTTTAAATTGACATAGCTAAGGACCGTCTTTGATTCGATCTGAATTTATCACATCTTTGATGTTAAACGAGCTGTGTTACGAAATTTAACAAAGTTTGTTCGAGAGATCTACCGACCCTACCCCTCACATTTTTGTGACGTTTATTAACACTACTAAATTAGGGCTAGGACTACCAAATAAGATAATGAACAAGTCAGGCAACACAAGTAAGCTAGAACTGGACGAGACGAAAAAAGAGAGCGAGTTTTCGTTGTAGGGTTTTCATTGAGTATTGTGAAATTTATTGTGAGTTCTTTTACAGAGAGTAAACCAAGAAACCGTGTTATTGTGAGTTCTATGGGCTGTTTTATTGTTCAGCTCAACTTCAAACAGTGAGAACTGCCACCAAATTAAATGAAAAAAAAAAACTGCTCAAAACGTTGAAAGAAAGTATTAATAACACAGCAAATACAAAAGCAGGCACGGATGGGCAAACACAAAGAAGATTGAAACGGATTGCAATTGTAGCTAATTGTTGTTAGCTCAACAGTTTTTCAAAGTTTATATTATATCAAGGCATTTTCAATTCAGTTCAACCAAACGATGAGAACAGCGTGATGGTGAGCGATCGAAAGAGGCGAGCGCGTGGTAAAGTGTGCTCTAGAACGATATCGTCCAGAACGTCCTAGATTCTGATTTGCTGGAAAAATAAGATACGCTTATAGCCTACTAGTCTGCTACACAGCCGTTTTTAGTGTCGTCACGCAACGCTCATAGTCTACCACTTGAGCCTGCAGGCCATTATCTAATACCCAGGAGAAATGAAAAACAAAGGTTATGCAGAATGTTGGGGTGCAAATAAGGTGCATTATGGGAAATGTGGAAGTTACTTATCATGATGTCGGCATAATGGTTATTTTTTTCGTTGTTTGTCCTTGAGAGGCATATTTGTTTTACATGAAGCTGTGATTTTTTCATTTACAAGTTGTTTCTTAAGTGTGTTTGTGAATCAAGAAATTTAATTGGCTTTGTTAACAAAATGACCTAGACAGCGATGACAGTACAGCCCCTTTATAGAAAATTAATACAGAACTTGTTAAACAGGCAAATACAAAATAAGATCGACCTACGGGAGGTTTGTGAGCCCGCGAGACTGAGCAACCCCACAAACCCTTGTTTTCACTAAAACCGCTGGACACGAAACCTCCCATCGGTCGATATTACATATTGTCACAACAAGTCAAACAACCTATATAGTTTGAAGTTATTCAGATATTTAAGCATGCTGCCAAAGCAATGTCAGGAAAAATATCGTAAACTTTAAATCACGTATAGACTGATATATAAATACAATTAATAATTCTTATAATAGCTCTATCTAGTATTTATAATTGTAGTTGATTATTAACCACTTATGTAAATTTCAAATTAAATTTTAGGAGCCGTTAAAAAACATTTTCTCTCAGTATAGTTCTGGCCCTGAGGAAAGCTAATTTTGTTAGCCAAAATATTGGCCTATAGTAAAGTAGTGCCAGCCTTGCATTCAGTTTTGTCTCATTTTACACAGCAAGTGTCGTCTGGCTACAGCATCTCTTTAATATTAGAGATCCGGCAAAGAAACCAGTCAGTTTTATTTACGGGTTGCGTGGACCTCTGCATTCCATCATTTTTTATTTTCTTTTGATAAATGCGTTATTCGGCTTAGCCTGAGAAAACAGCCGACATTTGGCGACGCCACTACTGGTTTCCCCGCTAAATGACGTCTGAGAAACGAGCGCAGAAAGTCCATGACTGATGACGCGTCACTACCCAGATCTTGCTCGTGCTTCTGATCGGTCGTGCCGAGTGGGAAATTTGATTCAACCAATCAGAAGCACTACCCAGATCTGGGTAATGACGCGTCATCAGTATGGAATTTCTGCGCTCGTTTCTCAGACGTCATTTGGCGGAGAAACCAGTAATAGCGTCGCCAAATGTCGGCTGTTTTCTCAGGCTATATCCGGCTATACAGATGTTAGTCCCGTTGCACCTACCCCTTTTGGGTTTTTGCTTCTTCTTCTTTTTTTTTGTGCGTGTGTGTGTTGTAGTACAAATTTATATTGTATATCACTAGAGGAGCACCCAATAAAGCCTTGAAAAAAATTACCATAACGCCTGGTAAGTGTCAACTGTACATCTAAACGGCAAGCGGACAATCGCCACTTTCGGAGCGAGAAGGGAACTGGAGCCGAGATGTGTCCCGCAATGGTTTCTGGGGTCGTTACCGGGGAAGTGTCGGTCACCCATTGGCCAGGGACTAGGTTTTTTCAGGATAAAAAAGTGAAGACATCACGAGGTCCGCGTAAGTGGAAGAGGGAATGAGAGAGGTCAGAGAGGAAAATCTGATAAATGATTTTTGTAAAACACTTGTGCCTGAGAAATTAGTGACCTCACAGTGTATTCGTTAGACGCTTATAGCAGTTATAGTCTTAGAAAAAGAGGTTTTGACAGAGACATTGCCGATTGAATTGATCGATAGTTTGGCTTTGAAACCGAACGTTTCATGATGTGCTGTCTTTAATCTTGGGCCGGTCGACTGAGCTGGTTTGTATTCAAAGGTAACTTTATAAGGGACTTTCAAATAAACGAGGTGTAGTCTGCACAAATGTTTTTTTTTTATGCCTCAAAAAATGATATTTTGTAAAGTTACTAGCCTGTGAATTACTACAGCCAAGCCTAGTCCCTAGGCTTTCTCTCTTTCCCTGTTGTCCGCGCAAAGTCTGGGAAAAGGTGGGCTAGTCTGTCTCGGTGACGTCACAGCTCACGGTATTGACAGAGCCGAAAGCACCAAGGGACAAGGAAGAGGACAGCTGTCTCTTCACGCCTCTCCACTAGGGACGTTTCGCGAGGGTGAGAGCATCCCTAGGGGCGAGGAACGAAGAGAGGCGGCTGCCGGTACTGTTGTATTCGCAGGCTACCAGTTCATTTTCAGTTTATGTCGTCATCATTTAGTGAGTAGCATGGGATAAACTTGTTTTACAATACTTTCTCGTGGTATAACGTACAACTTTCCTCGATCATAAAATCTCTACTTTTATTTTCAGGGGCACCAGCTTTAATTGAAGTTTCAGGGGCGGATCTAGGGGGAGGGTGCAGGAGGTGCGCACCCCCCCCCCCCCCCCAACTGGTATCCTGCCAAAAAAAAAACTATGTGGTTTATTGGTGTTGAAGTATAGCAAGAGACGAGTGCACCCCCTCCTTAAAAAATCCTGGATCCGCCCCTGAGTTTACTCATAAACCTATGTCCAGAGTATTAAAGTTTCTCTTGTTTGTCACAATTTTTCTTATTAAACTCTTCCAAAACTTTCTTGAATTCATGCTCGCATTAAGAGGTAAAGTTTTTATTATAAGCTTTCTTTACTAAAACATTAGACTTGACTCGATCTCATAATCACGTCCGTCCTCCAGTTCCGTCCGCAGTGGATATCCACCGTAAACTGACGCTTATAGCGGATAGGCCCTAGGCCTATAGGGCACAGTGTTTATATAGCCTGCGAATACAGCCGTTACTCCTTGCATGCACCTCGCCGCTAGAGACGTTGGCAAAACGTTCCTAAAGGCCAGGAGCAAAGAGAAACGGCTGTATTCGCAGGTTAGCCTATACATCATTAGCGACGTTACTTTCGGGTGGAGAGAAGCAATGAATTAAAATATGTCTGCGCTCGCGGGCTCATAAAACTAATTAGCAGCGCTTATTAAAAGGAGGGGGCTTATATCTGGAAAAGAAAAAGGGCTTCGAAACAAGCTATAACAGGGCTGATCAGAATGTATTTTGCATTAATTTACTGCATGGTTTACTACCATAGCAATAAAGGATTCATTTCAATACAAGCTACAATCTTGGACAAAATAAAATGGAACAGCAAACCTTCATCCACCCAAATCAAGGATGAAGCCACGCGAAGGGCAAAAACGCGCCATTTTCCCATCATTGATTTTGGGGGGAAGGGGATTTAAGGTTTTCCATTTATTTTGTCCAAGATTGTAGAAGAGAGGGCCTTATATCCGGAGGGGGTATAATCGGATGTATCTCTTTGTTTACAGGTAGATGGGCCTATAACTGGAGGGGGGGGATAAGAACAATTTACAGAGTATTAGCACTTGATAGGACTATCAAAGCCACACCCTTCCTTCAACTCGCAGTAGATGTTAACAATACTATGGCATGGTACGTTCCTTTGTGCGCTACAGCCAATATACTGGACCAGTCCACCGTGACGATCAATCCACGTGACCACGTCATTGCGTGACACAACCGACGTGGTGTAACGCTGTAGTTCGTCCAAGGTAAAACCCATCTTACCATGGATATGAAGTTCACCGGGGCTCGAAAACGATACCACTGGGATTTTGAGTCGGCTTCCCAAGATTTTTGCCAAACCACCACTGAGTGAATGCCCTGTTAGTATGATACTGATATCACGATCAACTGTTCTATTGATTAAGCGCTTACTCAAATATGATTCCAATGAACTAAAAGCAAAATCTTCGCGATTGTGGTGCATGAGGCGCTCCAGGAAAGACGCAGCCGTCACGAATGATGTCACGAAGCTTAACGGAAGTGTCTGGACCGGAAGTGCCACCGCGGTGATCTGGTAACTAATAATCTCGCTCCATAATTTTAGGCTTTTAATCCAGTCACCAGTGCTCTGCGATCCTCGTATGCTGATAACGTGAACTCGTTCTGTGGCCTCGAACACGTGATAAAACGTAAGATTTTTTTGAGATATGTACGTAACATTCCACTGGATTCCTCGATTGGAGAAATACGTGTTAACAGACTGATTGACGTCTTTTTTGGTCAAATTGTCTTGATAAGCGACGGATGAAAGATAAGCAATATCTGCGATGTTCAGACGCAAGGGAGTCCAAGTGTTTCCACAGATTGGGTACCTGAGAGAGCTTCTTTCTGCTTTGCTACCAAAATCATTACTCATTCTGGTGTGGTTATTCAGCGATGGGAAACAGGAGTCTTTACCGTCAGAGTGAGGGCGAGATGTTAGAGTTAGCACGATGACCCCAATGTACGCAATGACAAACAGAAAGGCGAACCGCTTTTTTATGATGAAGTATTCACCGTTCGGTCGTCTGCAACCTCGAAAACAAACGTACAACGTAAGGCAGGCGGTGGAAAAAGGATAAAAAAACGAAAAACACACCGCAGCTTTCGATGCGCCCACAAGAGTAAAGGAAACTGGGGAGAGAATTGAAAACAGGAGAAACGCCGCGCACATTGGAAGAAGTGCTACGGCGTAGAGTTCATGGCTTTGTTCTCTGTAGCAAAAAGCAAGGAGGCCAATCGAGCCCAGGACTGCGAGTACGAACGCCGCAAACCAGGAAACCACGACACAACTTTCAAGGAATCCTAAGACACCATAATTCGGTTTAGCGCAACCTGCGTAAATACTAGCGATTAGCAGAATTATCATTAAAATCGTCACTTTTGCGACTCGGAATTTAAGCGTTCGCTTGACTACCGTCACTTTTATGATTTCCCAAAAGAGGGAACATACCAGGCAAACTAAAAACAGCGTACAACAGAGAAGTACAAACATACAGAAGGTGTAAAATGTCTGATCAGTCACGTCATCGTCTCCTAATGGTGAAATCATTTCGAAGGTTATCTCCAACGCGCAGTTGATGGCGAAGCTGAAAGCTGTGACAAAGAACGAGATGAGAGATACGACAATGGTTGCGTGAGCGACTGGATACAATGCGGAAAATACTACACGGAGGACCTTCCATTGGATTCCAATGCGTCCTGGAAAAATCTGAGGAAGACAGTAACCAAACAATAATCCTAGTTAATGGTGGCAAGATTGCTGCCACATATCCTGATCCGGCCATATCCAAAATTTAGATCTACCCGTTCTGCTCACACCCCTCACGATGAGGATCACCGGGAGCATATAGGTAAGGGAAAAAAAAAATTAAACCACAGGCAAGCCACTCCTCTGTTTGGGCGTGGCCGTTGTTACCGGAAGTCAGTAAAAGTGAATCCTTTTCCTACACTGTATTTCTTCTATAAGATACAAATGATTGTTTCTGAAAATAATGATTTCAATATTGTAGCCGCCTTATGTTCACCTGTATTTTCGTTTCTCGATGTTCAGATTTCAATGACAATAAAGGCCACACCAAGAGATGGTGGTCTGCCTATGTCCTAGCCTGCATAGCAGGCGCCGGGTTTTGTCATGGTGCAAGAAGAAATCTCGAGGTAGCGCGCGGGGAGAAAAGGAGAGGAGGCCTCCTCTCCCACTCGCGTGATCACCTCGCATGGCCCAAAAAAATATAAGTGGCGCCTGCTACGTAGGCTGCGTAACTTTTCGTAACTCGCAAGTGAGACGAACCGAGTAGAAACTGGGACTGTCCCCTCCCTCCCCCGTCCCCCTTTTCTTCCCCCTTTATATCAATCGAAGCAGTACGAGTTGAAGATCTTGTAATAATAAAATATCTTAAAATTGGCTTGACTGGGAGGAATTGTAAACCACATAATTAACATGTTTCCAAATTAAAATTGGTTTTGTGCTCTTCCCGCCGCGAGCCTGGCCGCAAGCGAACTCGACAAGCACGAACCTGTAACTCTGCGTATAAACAAGAAGGACAGCATGTATGAAGAGCTACAGTTCCTCTCTCAAATTTCGAACTGATTAGTACTTGTCAACGTTTAAAAATTTGGGTGAAATCTTCCAACGTAGCTTCAAGCTATTCATAAACGATCAATACTTAGAGTACAATGGAAGCTTCTTACTGNGCGCCTGCTACGTAGGCTGCGTAACTTTTCGTAACTCGCAAGTGAGACGAACCGAGTAGAAACTGGGACTGTCCCCTCCCTCCCCCGTCCCCCTTTTCTTCCCCCTTTATATCAATCGAAGCAGTACGAGTTGAAGATCTTGTAATAATAAAATATCTTAAAATTGGCTTGACTGGGAGGAATTGTAAACCACATAATTAACATGTTTCCAAATTAAAATTGGTTTTGTGCTCTTCCCGCCGCGAGCCTGGCCGCAAGCGAACTCGACAAGCACGAACCTGTAACTCTGCGTATAAACAAGAAGGACAGCATGTATGAAGAGCTACAGTTCCTCTCTCAAATTTCGAACTGATTAGTACTTGTCAACGTTTAAAAATTTGGGTGAAATCTTCCAACGTAGCTTCAAGCTATTCATAAACGATCAATACTTAGAGTACAATGGAAGCTTCTTACTGAATAAACATCGCTGAGTTAACTCGGAAAATTACACAGTATTTTACGAACCTCAAAACGTTGAACAGAACGAGGTCTCACAAACAACGGCGATGTTTCTTCTTCCTCTGTCAAAACAAGGATATCTTCTACTTGTAAATGATTTATTCCCATTTCTTACTGCAGTCTAACTGGATATTTAAACTCACGCAATATACTTCTTCCGATTCACAACATCGCAAACACGAAACTTCTCTTTTCAAAGACGTCAATCATTGAGTAGACATGCACTGGAACATGCACGTGAGATTAAACTTCCGGTGTATGTACTTCCGTCACGTTTTATAGCACGGTGTCGTCACACAATTGGATTACCGGTAGTTTAGCCTGCGTAGCAAGCGTTTCCAATCGAGTTATTGCGCGAAAGTTAGAGCGGAAACAAAAAAAAGGTTCACTTTTTTTTTGCTCTTGTCCCAGCTTTCTAGACGAACCTCGCGAGGAAACGCTTGCTACGCAGGCTACCGGTAGTTTGGCTGTATTTAATAAATAAAAGGCTCAGTTTTTTCCGGAGACACACAAATTTGGCCAGCATATTTATTCTAAAATTACAAGGTAAGTCATGTAAAATGCGAGTTTTTGATCGAAACAGAAGGCTGGTAAACGTCCTTCGGGGACCGATAAAATAGGTTGTGTTTCCAATATTTCCCAAAGGCCTTCTCAATCGCTCGAAAGAAACTAATGCAGCGCGGGGAAAGCAGAAAACAGCGCATTTCATAGATTTTTTTATCGATATCGATATCGATCACTTTGCATCACCCGCATCATTCACAAACCAGTCGGATTACAAAACAAATATAATTTGTACAGTCGACTCTAAAAGGGTTCGAGTTATCGGGAGTTCGAAGGAAGCAACCGAAAAAGAGAAGTATAACGAATTAGGCAACAAAGTAGACTTTCAAAAAAGTCCTTCGACCGATTTTATATCGCAAGCTTGGCCGCTTCGCGGCCTAAAAAGCTCGTTTCGCTCGCTAAGAAACTCGTGAGGGAGATTAGAAACAAAGCTACTTTATTATCGATGTTGTCTCGAGTTATCGGGAGTTGACTGTATTTGGTCTTCAACGTTCAGACTTCTCAGATCCTTTTGTAAATACACATGTAATTTTAGAAGACCGACACAGTCAATAGAAAATTAGAGTCAAACCAGTATTTTCCTTTGTNTAGAAACAAAGCTACTTTATTATCGATGTTGTCTCGAGTTATCGGGAGTTGACTGTATTTGGTCTTCAACGTTCAGACTTCTCAGATCCTTTTGTAAATACACATGTAATTTTAGAAGACCGACACAGTCAATAGAAAGTTAGAGTCAAACCAGTATTTTCCTTTGTCGCAGCAGGTTCTTGTACTGCATGCATAGTCTCTACAATTCAATCCAAACAAATGTGGGCGAGAGTGAATGCGGTTTTCTTTTGTCACGCAACTGCTACAACGCGCGCACAATGCCAGTCAAACCGGTTTTCGATATTCCGATCCTTCGACACAGAAAAGATTCAGCGCGAAACCGGCCCGACGTTCATCAAAGAAACTCGTCTTAAAAATAACCACACAACTCATCTGGAAAGCTTCAATAATAGGTCAGTGAAATGTTTTGTAACCACTTCTACTTCTTAGCTTAATTCTTCAAGTAAGCGTAGCAATTTCTTTCTCTTACATCCCCCGCTAGCTAAGGTTCGCCGGCCGGCATTGATATCGGAGGGAGACAGACACATGCGAAAATAGTTGAAGCCGTTTTAAGCTTTCTTTCAGTTCACGAATCACTAAGAAAATGCAGTTGTTCCTTCGTGCAATTCATCGGTAAGGTATCAGAGATTTTAAAAATTTTTCTCGGATAACGAGTAACGTAAGAATAAAGCTTATCGAACAATGGTTTCCAAATAAACAAACCTGCTTTCTTGTGATAAAAGTCCTGAATTTTTCAACCAAATGCAGAATTTTACCTGGCAATAAAGCTGTCAGATTACTGAGTGATTTCGGAACGAAATATCGTCGAGCATTTGGAAAAGAGACTGTTTACAACTAAGTCGACCGTTCTTCGATAAGCCGGCTCGCTCTTTCAGCGACGTTACTACCCAAATTTGACGAGAAAATGAAATCTTTTAAGTCTACAAATAACTTGCTTCATTGGGGAATCGACTGCTTTGGTGTAGGACCCACCAAGAACGCTAAAACAGGAGTGAAAGGCCTGAAAATTGCACTAATTCACCCGCGATTCAATCATTCAAGTTCGCTGGTTGGCGACGCAAAGCAAGAGAAGGTGGTTTGGGATTGATCATTGTTTATGTACTTTTTATCACGTGACAATCCGTGACGCGCGGTCGTATGATTATGACATTACAAAGGTCAATCGATCAATCCGAGGAGACCAAGCGTTTTTGAAAATTACGGCTTTTCATGTCCAAAAGCTGTTCAAAATCAAGATAGCAAAAGAGGAGATAAAAAATCCTTTTCATGCAGTCTAAATTAAGACGCACAACATTATGCTGAGTGTTAAAAAATTGGAAGATACTGCGCAATGCAAATGATCGATTGATTACAAAGGTTTTTTAAAATGTGCATTGAAAAGGAACGAAAATGCAGAGGGTGCTCAGAGGCTGCTCGAGGGAAGCCCCTCTGGATTTTTGTACCTTTTCAACGCACATTTTAAAAAAACTTTGCAAAAATTATTATGTTGAGTGTGTTTATTTACACAGCATGTAAAAGTTGTAAAGGGTGGATAGGGACAGCAGGGAAAACAAACTAACTGGTTTCCCGAGGGACTTTCACTTCTGCAGGGACAAAGAATAAAGAGCGAATCAAAACAATGTAATTTTAAGATCACAAATTTTTAAATTAAAATTTTCAAAAAAAGCCGAATGAAAACTGATCTACAGAACAATCCTTTGGGCCAGGACCTGCTTGGGCTGAATTCTGGATTCCAAAGCCCAGGATTTCATATTCCACAAGCAAAAATTTTCCGGATTTCAGATTCCGGATTTTTACATTGAGCAAGCGAGATGATAGCCCGTGTACAGCTGCCCCCTCCCCTCATAAAAGAAACGGAGATTTTCTGAGGGAAGGGGGGTGGCTGTACGCAGGCTAGGGAGATGTTAGCAGGAAAAATTCCCGGGCTTCCCGCCACACTCCACTATATCTGAATGCGTGGAACGAGCAACTGCGCGCAAGCTTCTTATGTTTGACAGAATAAATAAATATAATGGTAATTGAACTGAGTGGAGTGCAATTTGGTATGAAATCGGATGCGCGTGATTTGAAAACCAGTTTGATTTGAAGTCACAAGTATGATTTCAGACAAAAATTTTACGACACGAAGTTCAGAATTCAGAATTCAGTCAGCACCAATATTTTATCGATCAAGTAGCCGGTTTGTTGAAAAGCGAAAACAAAAGGGCTTTTACTTCTCATTTTCCATTCGAAACAGAAATGATGCGACATAAAGCAAGAACGGTGCGATTTAAAACAGAAATGATGCGATTTTGAACCTGAATGACGCGATTTAGAACAGATGTGATTTAGAGCAAAAAATAGCGTGCTTCGTGAATAAATCACACTACTGATTGCCAATCAGATTGCAGGCATCACCAGTGATTTCAAAATGTATATGATAAAAAGATTTTTTTTCTCTTCACTTCACAGAGCATCATGATGAATCCATTACCAGTCCCCTTTGCTAGAAGAGCTCTCAAGCGCGTAGATGGGTCTGGACCTGGTGAACACGAGTTTACAGTAGTGACGTATAACATTCTTGCGGACCACTGGCTGCAGAGGAAAGTGAAAGAAGGCACAGCCTACAATTACTGTCCTAACGAATACAAGATTAGCAAGCAGTGCATGAATGCTCCTCGTCATACGCTTTTCATGGAAGAGGTAGGCAAAATTTATCTGTAGACTTCGATGTGGTTAATTGCCCGGATGCGAGATATGTCCAGAATTTTCGCCATTTTCGCAAAAATCGCAAATCTCCAAGAGGCCACTTTTGGCGTCCAATTTAAATCGCCAGTTTTCTCCATTTCCGCCATTGCATGCATTTTTGCGCATAAATGCCGGATGGGTGGACTCCCAAAGGAAAGAGAGGCCGATAAATGTCATAAATTGTTAGCTAAATAGGTTGTTCGTTTGTTGATGAAACTGTTACATACTGTAGTCCTTCCATATCTGTTTCGTATCATTCAAGCATCCATTGAGCGCTAACAAGGCCAAAAGCAGGAATGCATCGTACAATGTACCAACCTCGTTCCCAGGGTCCTCTCCTACTTGCTCCGGGGACGGGCAGATAAGGACCCTGGGAACGTGATTCAAGGTGCCAAATTGGGTGGTTTGGTATGAAATGACTGTGCTGACTAACTAATAGCCCACATTCTCCCCTAGAGTTTAATGAGAGCTTTGAATGTAGGCACAAAACGTAGATTAATACTCAGTGGAGTGTGGGATCTCTTTTTTGTTGAGATTCATAATAACGTGTATCAGGGATAAACTCTGTGATAATTGCAAGGCTGGCACTACCGGAATCAGGCCTGATAAGACTAGTTTACTAGTCGAAATTTTTGGCCTCATGAAAAGTGGCCTTTTATCTTAGTTCACGCTTTACAATTAAAAACAGTTTATTTCAAAAGGTTTTATATATCATCTGTTCGCAGCGATCAACTGATCGCTATAAGTAAAGCCATGGGTTCGCACACGCCGTGGCATCCTGCTAAACCTGGTTTATTCTTTAGTTGCGGTGGCTTAACGGCGACATCATCTGCCTTCAAGAAGTTGACACACCCTACTTTGAGAGGATCCTGGCAGATGAAATGTCCCGGATGGGATACCAGGGGATGTTTGCGCCAAAGTGCAAGCCGGGTCAGCCCGAAGGTTTGGCCATGTTTTACAAGCGGGACAAGTTCGTGCTGGAAGAAACAAAAACCGTGCATCTAAACGAGCAGGTCCCGCCCTCACTTAAGCAAAGCGATGCCGAAATAGGGCTTCTTGCAGCCTTGAAGCACACAATAAGCGATAATCTGCTAGTGATTGGTGAGAATACTTATAGCTGGGTTGCACTGCGTTTCATTACGTTTACGCTAGAGAACTGGAATGCTTCCCCGAATACGAGTTTGCGGTTCGCTTTTGTAAAACTCTTCGAAATAACCGAATGAAAATGACAGGAAAACATTTAAAAACATCTGAAAGTTTACTATTTAAGACCGGTAAAACCGTGGTCTCAGTTTGACTTCGTTTTAGTAACCGGCTGATGACCTGGAGTGTCCGCCTCTTCTGTGCTTTCAGTGTAGTCGTTGCATGACATTCCTAGCGTAAACGTACTCATGACATAAAGGTCTGGAGCCTTATCTGTGTGTACATGCCTCTTGTTTCAAAACACCGCTGACAATTGTTTCCATTGGCATGTAAAGGGCTCGGTAAGTGTCCGGTGATCGACCAAAGGCTTAAAGTTTTCTCAGCGCGCAAATGGGGTTATCCTTGCCTCGTTTTTCAACACGGAATATTAAACATCATTGTATTTAAGTCTGGAAGTACTAGAATTGTCCGTAAAATTCGACTCGGGTTTCCATGGTAAATCTTATCACGCTATGTTTTCACTTAAAGATTTTAGACTGCGATGAGTCTTTTTCTTCAGATTTAATGAGGGAAGTGCACGCGTGAGCGAGGGTGACAGTCACGCGCGTAGTCATTTGCGTGTCTCGCGCGTTTTGCTCTAGACGGACCAAGAAAAAGAGACTGCTCGTAGTCTATAAATATTTAGGTATACGATTTCTTTTTTCCCGGTAGGAACGACTCACATAATCTGGGGAGATTTGCAACAAACCGTCACTCAAGCTTGTCAAATAACATTCGTTACCAATGCCCTGGCGGAGATGGTTACGTCATACGAGTCACGTGGTGAACGCGTGTCTCACATTCTGTGTGGAGACTTCAATATTGAGCCTCAGTTCCCGGCGTATCAGCTTGTCAAAGAGGGTGGACTCAGTGAAAAGGAAATGCGTGCACTGAAAGGTGTGGACTACATCAGATGGGCTCCTAGCCCTACACCGCCAACACAGGTATTGTATTTAGTATTTGTTTCTTGTTTAGCGTACCAGAGCCGGAAAAGGGTACATTAAAAACCATAGGATGTTTTATTAGTCATGGCGTTCCTCGCTCTGCACTTTTTCGAGTGTCCTGTAGAGAGAAGTCTTCCGCACAGCCTGACGAGATACAGTGACGAAACACAATCTCGTCACGCAACGTCCATAGAGGAATGGCCCTTTTGGTAAGGAACGTTGCATGATAAAAGACTGCTGTGTGAGAGAAGACTATGCGCAGAGCTACATAGCAGCTCTTGTAAGATCTGGGTGAAGTGGTTAGCTCCATTCTCTTGAAAAGAACAGACAACAGAGACAGAAGCATATACCGGTGATAATATTGATTGGCAGTCATCTCTCTCTTTACAAGGGGCTCTTTTGGGGCCAGCAATATATGTCCGTCTTTGAGAAACGTCTGTCTTCTGGAGACTCAAAAAGGGCCTCGCCAGATCAGTCTAGCCGTATAGGACAATTTTACTGTTAATCAGGACCATTCACCAAGATAAACAACAACAACAACAACAAAAATGCGCTGGTTATGCATGTTTGTATGTTTGCGTAAAGCTTGTTTTAAGTGCTAGTCCCAAGGTAGTTGACTGTACTAACTTTTCCACTCTTAAAAGTTGAATCGCACTGTGTGAACAGGAATTGTAAACTCATTTACAAACTCGAATGGAATCATGTGGGAATAGTCTTATTGCTCAACCCTTTCTATAACGGTCAATAAAAGCTCATAATTCGTTTGCATTAATTCTGAGCGCCAGGGAATTTTTTGCTATTATCAATTTTTTACTGATATGTCTCTCTCTTTTCTCGCAGCTGCTCCCCGATCAAATGTCACTTTTAAACAAAACTAAGCCGCATCTTCATCATACTCTCAAGAACGTGCAAAGTACCTACAAGACAGTTCTGGTAAGGATACTACAGCTTACTTACAGTCGCATTAGTGTTGCTTTCATGCGGTGCTTCTGTTTCGGCGACTGTTGTCAAAGAGGGTTTGGCTCTCAGATAAAAATTACGAGGATCCTCATAGGAAAATTAGGAATAAGCTCCTAAAAGAGACGCATCTTAGCCTGGTGGTCTGCAAGCAATCTCTATATTTCGAGCGTAGATAGCCTGTTCCAGGCCTTCAGAATGTTGGGACGGCGTAAACAGATCTGAGCAGAAAAAACAGCGAGGGGCTGAGGTAGGGGTGAGAGCTCTCCCTTTCCCTTTCTTCCTCATCTTTTTTCCGCTCTATGATTTGGCGCTGCAGTCCGCTGCATGACCGCCTGGAACATGCCAGAGCTCTAAGCAAAACCAGCCGTGCGCGAATTTACGCACGAGTTTGCGCGAGCAAGGGGGGTCCTAAACTCTTACGTCTCCACTCGCGTGACGTCTCGCGATATTCCCTTAGTAGAGGACTCGCTCGCGAGTTACCACTTATGGGCAATCCGAACGAACGAGTTATTCATTGATTTCTTTGGATGGTCAATCCGCGGAAACAGAAAAATAAACGAATTCAAAAATTCACTCGCGTGTGGCCTTGAATAAGTAACCTCAATCAGCTCCATTCCTGAAGGAACCAAGTAAAATGGGCAGGATCAGTAACAGTTTTTCCTTAGCTTAGAGGTCGGACAGCCCAACTGGTATTCTGGGAGTCATTGGTTCGTGTATGTGTTTGAAGCGCGCAAGGCACCTTAATTGGTTCACCCTTTCCATGACCATTCGCATTAGCCTGTAACCTTCCCATTTTCCCTTGCGCCGTTTGGCGCCAGGTTAAATTTCTTCGAGGAGTGAGTTGATTTTCTTTGCCCTACGTCACGTGGCGTTACCTCTAACATTTATTTCTTACTAATTTGTTCCTGTTTATCAGGGTGCCGAGCCACCGCTGACAAATCATGAAGGACCAGGCTGCGTTTGGACTTTGGACTATATCTGGTTTGATTCCGCCAATCTTAAAGCCACAGCTGCCCTAGAGACGGTACCCAGGGAAGCTATAGAGCCATACGAGGGCTTGCCAAACCAGTTCTTTCCGTCCGATCACCTGTCACTTAAAGGACATTTTAAATTTGCCGTGCCGGTGAAGACGCATGTACAAAGCTGATTTCATGACTGTTCGTACGATTTGACATATAATGACCAGGAAAATACTAATTATGACAACACTTTTATGAAGTAAAAGGAAAAAAATTTCCTTCGAACCACGGTGATCCGGTCAAGTTATCGACAGCTTGATTTTCGGGTTTTCAACCGTCACTCAAGCTTGTCAAATAACATTCGTTACCAATGCCCTGGCGGAGATGGTTACGTCATACGAGTCACGTGGTGAACGCGTGTCTCACATTCTGTGTGGAGACTTCAATATTGAGCCTCAGTTCCCAGCGTATCAGCTTGTCAAAGAGGGTGGACTCAGTGAAAAGGAAATGCGTGCACTGAAAGGTGTGGACTACATCAGATGGGCTCCTAGCCCTACACCGCCTTCACAGGTATTGTATTTAGTATTTGTTTCTTGTTTAGTGTACCAGAGCCCGAAAAGGGGACATTAAAAACCATAGGATGTTTTATTAGTCATGGCGTTCCTCGCTCTGCACTTTTTCGAGTGTCCTGCAGAGAGAAGTCTTCCGCACAGCCTGACGAGATACAGTGACGAAACACAGTCTCGTCACGCAACGGTCTCGTCACGCAACGTCCATAGAGGAATGGCCCTTTTGGTAAGGAACGTTGCATGATAAAAGACGGCTGTGTGAGAGAAGACTATGCGCAGAGCTACATAGCAGCTCTTGTAAGATCTCGGTGAAGTGGTTAGCTCCATTCTCTTGAAAAGAACAGACAACAGAGACAGAAGCATATACCGGTGATAACATTGATTGGCAGTCATCTCTCTCTTTACAAGGGGCTCTTTTGGGGCCAGCAATATATGTCCATCTTTGAGAAACGTCTGTCTTCTGGAGACTCAAAAAGGGCCTCGCCAGATCAGTCTAGCCGTATAGGACAATTTTACTGTTAATCAGGACCATTCACCAAGATAAACAACAACAACAACAACAAAAATGCGCTGGTTATGCGTGTATGTATGTTCGCGTAACGCTTTTTTAAGCACTAGTCCCAAGGTAGTTGACTGTACTGACTTTTCCACTCTTAAAAGTTGAATTGCACTGTGTGAACAGGAATTGTAAACTCATTTACAAACTCAAATGGACTCGTGTGGGAATAGTGTTTTTTTAGTCTTATTGCTCAACCCTTTCTATAACGGTCAATAAAAGCTCATAATTCGTTTGCATTAATTCTGAGCGCCAGGGAATTTTTTGCTATTATAAATTTTTTACTGATTTCTCTCTCTCTTTTCTCGCAGCTGCTCCCCGATCAAATGTCACTTTTAAACAAAACTAAGCCGCATCTTCATCATTCTCTCAAGAACGTGCAAAGTACCTACAAGACAGTTCTGGTAAGGATACTATAGCTTACTTACAGTCGCATTAGTGTTGCTTTCATGCGGTGCCTCTGTTTCGGCGACTGTTGTCAAAGAGGGTTTGGCTCTCATATAAAAATTACGAGGATCCTCATAGGAAAATTAGGAATAAGCTCCTAAAAGAGACGCATCTCAGCCTGGTGGTCTGCAAGCAATCTCTATATTTCGAGCGTAGATAGCCTGTTCCAGGCCTTCAGAATGCTGGGACGGCGCAAACAGATGTGAGCAGAAAAAACAGCGAGGGGCTGAGGTAGGGGTGAGAGCTCTCCCTTTCCCTTTCTTCCTCATCTTTTTTCCGCTCTATGATTTGGCGCTGCAGTCCGCTGCATGACCGCCTGGAACATGCCAGAGCTCTAAGCAAAACCAGCCGTGCGCGAATTTACGCACGAGTTTGCGCGAGCAAGGGGGGTCCTAAACTCTTACGTCTCCACTCGCGTGACGTCTCGCGATATTCCCTTAGTAGAGGACTCGCTCGCGAGTTACCACTTATGGGCAATCCGAACGAACGAGTTATTCATTGATTTCTTTGGATGGTCAATCCGCGGAAACAGAAAAATAAACGAATTCAAAAATTCACTCGCGTGTGGCCTTGAATAAGTAACCTCAATCAGCTCCATTCCTGAAGGAACCAAGTAAAATGGGCAGGATCAGTAACAGTTTTTCCTTAGCTTAGAGGTCGGACAGCCCAACTGGTATTCTGGGAGTCATTGGTTCGTGTATGTGTTTGAAGCGCGCAAGGCACCTTAATTGGTTCACCCTTTCCATGACCATTCGCATTAGCCTGTAACCTTCCCATTTTCCCTTGCGCCGTTTGGCGCCAGGTTAAATTTCTTCGAGGAGTGAGTTGATTTTCTTTGCCCTACGTCACGTGGCGTTACCTCTAACATTTATTTCTTACTAATTTGTTCCTGTTTATCAGGGTGCCGAGCCACCGCTGACAAATCATGAAGGACCAGGCTGCGTTTGGACTTTGGACTATATCTGGTTTGATTCCGCCAATCTTAAAGCCACAGCTGCCCTAGAGACGGTACCCAGGGAAGCTATAGAGCCATACGAGGGCTTGCCAAACCAGTTCTTTCCGTCCGATCACCTGTCACTTAAAGGACATTTTAAATTTGCCGTGCCGGTGAAGACGCATGTACAAAGCTGATTTCATGACTGTTCGTACGATTTGACATATAATGACCAGGAAAATACTAATTATGACAACACTTTTATGAAGTAAAAGGAAAAAAATTTCCTTCGAACCACGGTGATCCGGTCAAGTTATCGACAGCTTGATTTTCGGGTTTTCACCATATATTGTCGTCTTATGAAACAATGATGAAACAAATAATGTTTTTATTTAAACAGGGAAGGTTGTAAAAATGTTCGCACCTAGAGTTCTCTTGTTCAGACTTAGTGTTCTCCTCGAGTTTTATTTTATAATCTTAGAGTGGTGAAATGGACAACAAAACTGAGACAATTTTAGTTCTCTTAATTCACTGTAATGGCAGAACTGTCTGAAACATTGGATTTTATCGTTCGATTTTGCCTGTCTATGAGAAACAAACCATAATTTAATTATTGATACACTGATAATGTTTGTACAGTGTTTTAAGTAATAATTATATAGTAATGATATAATAATAACGATGATCAGATGAATTTGATGAATTTTAGTTCTCTTAATTCACTGTAATTGCAGAACCGTCTTAAACATTGGATTTTATCGTTCGATTTTACCTGTCTATGAGAAACAAACCATAATTTAATTATTGATACACTGATAATGTTTGTACAGTGTTTTAAGTAATAATTATATAGTAATGATATAATAATAACGATGATGATGTTGATGAATTTTAGTTCTCTTAATTCACTGTAATTGCAGAACCGTCTTAAACATTGGATTTTATCGTTCGATTTTGCCTGTCTATGAGAAACAAACCATAATTTAATTATTGATACACTGATAATGTTTGTACAGTGTTTTAAGTAATAATTATATAGTAATGATATAATAATAATGATGATGATGTCGATGATGACGATGAGGATAAAATAAACATGGCAATTAAACCCAATCTTACGTTATCTCTCATTTCGCAAACCCAAAGAATTCTCCTACCGATTCTGTTTTATAATGCTTTTGGTTTTGGCGTTAGGGTTGTTAACCACGCCTGCGAGCAGTAGTTACTTTACGGGTAGGGGAGGAAGTGGAAAAGGAATGCTGAGGGAGATTTTGGATTCGCCTTTTTCCTCCTCACCTTCACGGTAAACGCCAGGTTCAATTTCTCAAAATAGGAAATTAGCAGATAAAAACATGCATATTACTGGCGTGGAACTATTATATTTTTTGTGGACGTAATGAACGGCAAGCGACAAGTAAAGGAAACCTTGGTCACGTGGTACAAACCCACGTTTGTCGTTTAAAAAATGGATCTTTACAAAAAATGTCAATAACTTGGAAACTCTACGAAAGATTTTTCACTAATTTCAGCAAATAAGCCTCGGAGCTTTCTAAGTTTGAAGTCAATCGTGACCTTGGAAGTTGCTGCACAAAATGCTGGTCAAATTTTACCTTACAATGCAACGCTAACACATTTCTGAAAGTTGACGCACAAATAGAGGAAGAGAGCCGACAGACTATCTCCTATCTGAAAGGGTATTCTTGCCCAAAGCTTTATGGCGAGAAACTGAGTACAGTTCGCAATACAAGAAGAGCGACTTAATGCTGAATGCGGGGCAGACTGAAAGAACTTCTATTTATCAAAGTTACTGTGTTTTTTGCCCTTCTCTTTTTGAAAAAAAAATCTCAACAAAGCATAACATAGCATCTACAGAAATCGCCTACCTGTTTTTAGCACCGAAGGTTCCCGTCTTGAGGAGAAATACAGCCACCATCTGCAGGACTTTAACCGATCCATTTTCAGCTTCAACGAAAACCCTTGTAGGTAATTTATTCAAGCTTGTTAGATTTGCCATCACATTCGCACGGGCAGTTTGCCATTGAGGATAATGAGAAAAATATGACGATTGTCATATCTTTCTTCATCTTTATCCCCAAGTGGCAAACTTCCCGTGCGAACGTAACGACAAGTCTAAAAAGCTTGAATAAATTTACCCAGTACAAGGGCTTTCAGTGCAGCTGAAAATTGTATGCCTGCGACGCTTAAAACTGTTGAGAGTTTTTCGTAGATGCTATATTTTGCTTTGTTAATGGTTTCGAGAAGAGAGAGACAAATACAAAGCACGTTTGATGATGAATGGAAGTTCTTTAATCTTGCCCCGCATTCAGCATAAAGATGTTCTTCTTGTATTGCGAACTGTACTCGCCGTAGGTTTCTGATTACTCAGTTTCTTGCAATAAAGCTTTGGGCAAGAATACCCTTGCAGATAGGGATAGTCTGTCGGCACCCTTCCTCTATTTGTGCGTCAACTTTCACAAATGTGTTAGCGTTGCATTTTAAGATTAAATTTGACCAGCATTTTGTGCAGCAAGTTGTACGGTCACGATTGACTTCAAACTTGCAGATACAAAACTAGAGAGCTCTTAGACTTATTTGTGGAAATTAGAAAAAAATCTGTCGAAGAGTTTCCAAGATACTCACATGTTTGTAAAAAATGCGGTTTTAAACATATACCGATATCTTGAACGATTTTATCCCTAAAAGAAAATAAATAACATTTTCTTAAAGTTGCACCATTCTTTATTAAGGAGACCAAAAATCATACAAATCGCTTAAATTCGTTCCTGCCGAAAACCGAGATTCAAAAACATAACGCACATATAGGTTCGGGCCACCTTAAATAGAAGTTAACCATTAACTCATTATCAGTATTTTCAGTGCTTAACCCTAATCAGTATGGTCAGTGCTTACCCTAATCAGTATTTTCAGTGCTTAACCCTAATCAGTACTGTCAAGGCTCACTCATATATTTGAAATTACTTTGTGTAGGCATCACAACGTATCCAAGGGCGGTTTGAGATATGGAAACAAGTGTTTACCTTTATTGTTTTGAAACACCAATATGGCCGCCGTGACGTCATGTGAAAACGCTTTATAGTGTGAACACCTATCCGATATGTGACTCTCCACTTTAGGGATCGGCATGGCGCAGCCTCGCTCCGATACATAAATTACGCCGAAATCACTGTTCTTATGTACGAACAGAAGCCCTATCTCCGGGGAGATAAACCAGGGATTCAGAAACAATATAGTGCTATACGAGCAGTAGGCTGTTTAGTTCCTAGAGATTTATAAAGAAAGAAGAGGGAAGCTGGTGAGAGCCGGTGACTCCTCAGTGTTTTCATTTCTAGAACCCTTTTCTTGTCAGGAACCGCACACATCATATGGGCAGATCTACTTACAGACGGTCTCTCAAGTACGTGAAGTATCATTTGCTGCCAATGCCCTCGCGGACCTGGTGGCGTCATACGAGTCACGTGGTGGACACGTGTCTCACATTCTCTGTGGGGACTTCAATATTGAGCCCCGTTTTCCCGCCTATCAGCTTTTAAAGGAGGGGAGACTGAGTGTAAGGGAGATGGAGGCACTGAAAAGTGTGGACTACATCCGATGGGCATCTGATATTGAACAGCCATCACAGGTAAAAGAAGTCTGCTACACAGCCGTTTTTAGTGTCGTCACTCAACTCTCCCGTGGGGAGGAGTGTTGCGTGACGACACAAAAAACGGCTGTGTAGCAGACTAAGGTAAAAGATAAGAAAGGTTAAACTTGTTTGTATAATTAATATCATGGCTAACAAATTAATGAAAAAGAAAATCACTAACAATTCCTAATGGCCAACAATCATCCAAATACGAGTATGTTTGCACGCTTGTGTTCAGGGCCAGCCCTTGCGGGGCAAAGACAATTCCCTTAACCTACGCATTTGTTCTGTCCCACGGATTGAACCTGCGACCTGGATGCGCGACCTGGATGCGGTCCATCATTTAGAAGACTAGAAATGTATAAAGAGTGAACAGTTTATCACTGGTTATTAACAATTTGATATTCTCTGACTACTACTTAAAGGTTCAGGGTTCCTCCTGTTTACAACGTGCCACCACTGCTTTCCTGTCCAACAGGTTGAAACGCAAGTAAAATGGTAACTTTTGTCCAGAAATTCCCAGCTTATAAAGTTTCTCAATTTTCTTTTTATCTTTGCAGCTCTTGCCTGATCAAATGTCTCTTTTAAACAAAGCCCAAGCAAATTTTCACCATCCCCTTAAGAATCTTCAAAGTGCCTACAAGACCATTCTGGTAAGATACATCAAGCAAAACTACTTCTGTTAAGCCAAATTTATACATTCATTGACGGCTTTTGGTATCATAATGAGGGGGTGAATACGCCAAGGGATCGGCGGATTTTGAAAATATACTGATTTAGAGTGAAATTTTCGAGGCGGAAACCCTACTCACCCCTGCCCATCATGAAAAGCAAATTTTTGTTGCGAATACAAGATTTAGGAAAGTACGAGTTTTAAACTAATTTCGAGCTTCTTAAAAATGCTTCATTGTTACAAGACATGTATGCCTAGGAAAGTATCTCTATGACTTGCCAGTAACACTAAAGGATGAGAGTTCTGGGAGAAATAACCGGCTTGAAATAATCGCACTCATACTTGATCTAGTACGAATTACTTCAATCTAATAGTAAAGTTACAAAATTTTAAACAAAATTTTAAACACTGACTTCAAGGTCGGCGATTTATACAGATCGGTCATGATTACGAGCTGGCGAAGTAATTATTGAACACCAGCCTTGGTATCCTGTTTTTTTTTTCCGTTGCGACAGGAACAGTTAAAGAATTCCTGCCCTCTGGCTTCCCTGTTGCATGTGCGCTACTTTTTTTGTAACATTTTTTTAATTTTCAGGGCGACGAGCCGCAGTTCACAAATCATGAGGGATCAGGCCGCGTTTGGACTTTAGATTACATCTGGTTTGATTCTGCGAGTCTGAAAGTGACAACTGCCTTAGAGACGGTATCCAAGGAAGCTATTGAACCATACCAGGGCCTGCCAAACCAGTTTTACTCGTCCGATCATTTGCCCCTGAAGGCACATTTTAAGTTCGCTGCGTCACAATGAACTTTGATGGCAGTTTATCATGCGCTAAACGAAAAAGAACTTGTGGGCATTTATTGAGCCACTTGGTTTATAAAGGTGAGATTAGCTGAAGTTATAAAAGAATTAAGAGGTGTGAGGGTCTGTTTGTTTGTCTGTATCTTTTTTTGGAGGGCGGGGCGGGGGGGGGGGGGGGGGGGGGGAGCCGACGGAAAAATTGAAATGGGGGGGGGGGGGGGGGTTAAAGGGGGAAAATTTGAATCCCAAAAAAATTTATAGAGGGCGTTTCACAAAATCTATCCTCCAATGACTCGCACAACGCCCTTTTGTAGCATTGCATCGCCAAAAATATCTATAGAGCGCGTTCCACAAATCGTATCCTCAAATGCATCGCACATCGCCTTTTTGAACCGGACCGTAACTCTTATATGTTGGACACATGTAGTAAATTCCAGATTACCTTTTCGACTACCAGTAAATGGTTGTTTTCGTTATTAGTATATTTTCTTCTACGACCCAGCGCAAGTAGTTGAGTGTAAGCTAATAACAATCAAAGATAAATTACGTGAATTTTTTCTTTGAATCTACCTGTTAAGAACTTTTTTTATGGTAATTCAATGCTAGTGCCAGAAACTGTAGCCAAAAAAAATGTTTAAGTGAAACTAACGAGCGCTACTGATACACTTGCTTTACAGTGAAAGAAATAGTTCATTGAAATACAAATAGGATGTGCCAAGTTCGGCCTTCACAAACGTTTGTTCTACTTGTCCGCATCCGCCACATCTTCAATAGATGGCACCACATTAATTTGGTCGATGAGACCTTCTTTGTAAAAGCCTTCCAGGGCCTTGAAGCGGAAGAAATTTTTGATGCGTTTTAGCGACTTCACGCCAAGCACCCTTTCCTGTACTCTCTCTTCCACAGTTTGCCATTTGACCAGACCCCACAAAACTGAATGTTGTTTTGTGGTGATGATTCTCTCAGGGGCAACTTTAAAATCCAGTTTGTAGAGGCAGTACATGCAGTCTACAAACTTTCCATCTTTGGATTTTCCAAACGCTATCATTCCGTACCGGGCACTAGAATCACTCGACGCGTTGTATTTAAACTCCATTACCTTATATGCCCATTCACTTGCCCACGCGATTCCGTTCATTTTCTTTCTCATCTGTTCATCAATACCCTCATAAGCGTCTTGAAGATGATCCAGGAAGCCTTGGATACTCTCAATAGCAATACCTTTGGCTTCCATTACCTGTTTAATAAAAATATTAGATATTTATTATTACACACACTCGACAGGTTAAGGTGTGATGGCTGCGATCTCAGAGTGGTATTTTCATATAGTAGAGCAACCGAGCACGCGAAACGCGCGCAGCGTAGCCCAATAGCTAATAGAAAATGGTAACCTACCGATGCCAGAAAATTTGGTTATGACGTTAGCGTGGTGTCGTCCGTACAGACTCTTAGAGTACGAGTAAAAAACTCAGAAGGGTAGGGAAGGGTGTTCCAGAAATGTATTTTGCGTTTCATTTTGGCCCAATATAACCATTTAAGGGGCCACCAACGGAGTTGCTAAGTAAAAATCTAATTAAAGTTTCTTGTGTTCGGCTTGCGAGTTGCGAAGAAAATTTTCACAAATAAATTTCACAAGCTTTGCTTTTTACTTTGGTCACGCTTTTGGTCACACTCCAGGAACAACCTAGTCTCCCCCCACCCCGCTTGGTCAAAATTTTGACAGGTGAATTCCTGAATGAAAACTTATGCAACATCTAGAAATTTGTTTGGCGTCAGACTTGCCGACAACTGAAGCCTATTTTCATTTCAGTTAATTTGTCAAATTATCGTGTTCTTGGCATGTACTGCCGCCACAAAATGAAATACAACTGCAGTCGAGTTTCTTTTTCTGTTTTCCAAACTAACAGTATGAGGTTACTGAGTATTTGATATTGTAATGCTTAATCTAAAGGGTAGTTTACACGTAACGGTTTGTCGTTCTAATTTCTCAAACAAAACATTCTAAACACAAAAATCGGCCTAATTTACGATTTGGGTAGAATCCCTTTGAGACGAAAGCATTGACCTATTAACATTAACCGTGAACTGAACGCAGCCAAATTTCGTGAATGACAACCAGCCTTTATAACACATTAAATTTCATGGACTATAAGCTTCTCAAATGGGTGTGGTGGGCGGGAGGGGGGTCAGTAGTTTATTCGTTTTAATTTTTTGGTTTTAATTAATTAAAAGTATATAAGAGAAGTTGGCCTTTAGCCTTGACATCAATAATACCTCATACCTCGCAAGCCTCGTGCCATTTGTCAAATAGTTCGCCCTCAATTTCCCGTTGAACCTGGGTCGCGTCAAACTGAGAAACTTTCACAGTGTGGAGACCTTGCTTTACTTTTACTAAAGCTCGGTTAATGTCCTCTTCTTTGCTGTTAGCCTTAGTAGTTTGATCTGTAGCTATCTACGAGAACGAGAAGGAAAAGACAAGTCAGAAATGTATTTGCAGCTGAGCTGAATTCGTTCTAACGTTTTGGACAGAACAATTACGTCAGAGCTCGTCAGGCAACTGTTTAAATTAAATTATGTAGTGACAGTTTAAAGTACTTGCGTTTCAGTCTTTGTGAACCCTTTCCGTTTTACTTAGGCTAAACTTAACAAGAGGCAACGCCTAGCCTACTCATGTTATGGTTGCGTGTTTTCGAAGAATAGTGGAATCTCAGGAACATCAAACAATATGGTGTCAACTCCGGTTTTCATTCATAAGAACGAGACTTACATGCAACCAACACACGTGCCTGGAATTTCAGCCTCAATATTCTTATAAAATATATTCTTTTACTGTGTGTTTAATTGTATGAACCTGTGCTTCTGGCAACCAAAGCCCCACCCAACCGCGTTATTGAAAATCAGAAATAAGGCCGATATCCAGGCTATATTCGACGAATTATTGACCTACGTTTTTGCTGATTTATGCTGAGCTCAACTTCTTGGTGGGAAAGTGTCGGTCAGCGATGGCAAAACACTGTTACAATTATTGCCCCTGTAGTACCGGCATGTGCCAGCAACATTAGCTGATTGATAAACCAAATCACAAGAAATTCAAATACTAACCTCTGACATGCTTGAGTAGAGTCTGATCGAGTCGAACCACTGGGCTTAGTTAGTAAGAAAGAGTAACCTTTGCAGCTCCAACAATTCAGGCAATTGAAATATGTACAGTCGGAAAGCGTTCGGTTTTGTTTTAACTAAATACGGGAATTTCCCAAGTAACGCAACCCGAGTTGAGTGATTGGTCTTAGAGCTTCCGCGATGATCTCACCCTTCACTTTCAGTTAATTGGTGGGAATTTTCCCTGATTTCCCAGAAAAGTACAACACGGAGCAAGTTAGGTCTTATTTCTAAAAAGCTATTTTTTTTAATCAAACAGTTTTCGACGTCTCCTCACTGTTCCTTGGATCAGCGGTACTCCGACAGTCTTAAGGTATGAATCAACAGGCCAGCTTTATTTTAGGGTGAACATAAAAAGCAGGCGTCTTGGAAGACGAGCAGGAGTATTTTGCAGAACACCGAACGCCGAATGCAGAACACCTAATGACTCTGAAGTTTAGCGATCAGGGTCAGGACATTGAGTGAGCTAATCTTCAGGTCTGTTTTCCCTGAGTTTAATGACCCTAAACGTAACCTAATTCTCTAAGTTTCCTAACCCCAATCACTAAACTCAGAGTCATTCTTCGTTCGGCGTTCTGCAAAATACCGGCCTGCCGCTTTATGAACTATACCATTCTGTACGGTTAATTTTGAATGGTTTTCCGTACAAATCTTTGCAAATTTTCACTTTCGTTTAATCTATCCTTAAGCACTAAAGGGGCTCGAATTCTCTAGGCTGTATATTTCCGCGTTGCCCTAAACCTCTGTTTCAAAGAGAGGATAAGTGCAAAGTCAGTCAAATGAAAATTATTTTATATTTTGATGCAAATGAAACTCATTACCACAAGAAAGGTTTTGCGCTTAGCCGCGTTTTGGAAGTGAGAATTTTTGGAACTTGGAGATCTGAAACAATAGACCTTGTCACGGTTTTCGACGCCATCTTGACGAGTAGGCAAGCGCGTGAGAAGTTACAGTGATTGTATGAGAATCTATGTCGAATAATTTCCTTAGAAAAAATAATGATTTGTAAAACTAAAGCTTCACTCCTAAGGATTCTCCTGAAAAAATTTGAGGGCGTTTCATGCACTAGAAGACCTACAACCACTCTTAAAAATTTTCTATACATTTGTCTGTAAGAAAGTCCCGGGAAAATTACAGACAAATATATGGAAAATCTAAAGAAAGCCTCTGGAGAAATTTAAGCACAGCTACGCCCCTCAATTTTTTTAGGACAATCCTTTGATTTGTAGCTTTAGTTTACAATTGATATTTTGTTCAGAGCAGCCGTTTTACGGAAATTATTCGACAATAGATTCTCATACAAACACTGTCATTTCTCACGCGCTTGCCTACTGTTCAAGATGGCGTCGAAAATCTTGACAAGGTCTATTGAGCAATGAGCTCATGATGAACTGCATTGTAGGATTCTTGTTGAACTTCCTTTCGTTATGTATGCGAGACAATAGAACAATCTTAGTTATCTAAAGCCCTTAGGTGTTCTCGGAAAACCACCTATACCCGTTTTCAAACAAGGCCAAACCTTGGGGGCGGCATATACCTACATTTCATTTAACCCTTCGAGAAAAGCATTCTCTGTTTTCACATGACGTCACGCGGTATCCATATTTGGGTGTCCGCCATTATGGAGCCCCTCGGCAGCGTAATCTGATGACTGAGATTCTGAGTTTGTCTTGAGACTGAGACTGAGATTCTGAGTTTGTCTTGAGACGTGCGAAGAAACATGCTCAAAAACAACCATTAGCACTTCGTAGCTTGGCAGTCCAGTGTAAAATCTTACTTTGGCATCAGAATCGAAGTACTCCTGGTCTGGTGCTTGATATCCAGCAGGCATAAACATGTAGTCAAAT